ACACACCAGATTTGAAAAAGAGCTGATGATTCATGTTGTCCCGAGGTAGTAGAATCAGAAAAACATCATGGTTTCAAGAATCTCTCCTTGCCTTAAGAGTGATCCAAGGAATAAAATTGGAAAAACCGGCCTATTACCGAATGTGCTCAAAAGGCCTGTTGTGTTGAGGGCGAAGCTCCACTTTCAGAAGTGACATTCCTGGCCCAGACAAACACCAGATTTGAAAAAGACGTCATTCTGTTTTTATTAGCGTCACTTTTTAGGGAGTGGGTGGCAAACATGTAGAAGCGTTTTCTATTTCAATTAAAAAATATTGTTTCCTTAAAAAAATGTTGTTTCCTAACCCTAACCCTAACTTTATATAATAGGATTTTAATTTTTAATTTAAAAAATGTGATTCTCTAATCCTAACCCTGGTGTCCTTTGCTGAGGTTTGACAACAGATTTTATTGCATTCTGTGACCACTGGTCTTGAGTTGCACCATGTGCTGGTGGGGTTTCTATTGATGTCAACAGGTTTACAGAATCTTTAAACAAGTCTTTGGAATCTGGGGTTGCCATTTTATTTTTCCAGAACATAATGCAGTTTAATGTGCTGAACTTAAATGCCACTCCCGTCCCCACCCCTTTACTAGCTGACACATGACAGACTTCAGTGCATGCTCAGAATCAGGATTCTGACATGTCTTGACATGTGGATAAGGAATGGTACATTGCTTGCTGCTGGGTTGGAGGGTGGGTTTGTCAGTATTAGTGTTACCAGTTAAATTCTGTCAAACTAAAGTATGCTGCTGTCTTAATTTTCCTGGCTTGCTGGTGGGGATATAGAACTTTATTAAGGGCATGCTTCAAAATGTTTATTTGTATGTGTGTATTTGTGTTATCAGTTAAACTTTGCAAACACATGTGTGTGGGTGGGTGCATGTATGTTTTCCAGTCAAAATTTGCCAAACCATCTCTTTAACTTTTAAAAGGGTAAAGCAGGCTGCAGCTTTAAAAAAGGGCCTTTTTCCTGCATTTAAGGAGCTGATTTTAAAAACTCCACAAAAATTAAAATGTCATTAGGGTTTTATTTATTTCATAATGCACAAAATAGGGTTTGCTTCCAAAATACAATGAAACCTAGGGTTCTGTTAATTACTGACTTCAATTAGCTTTGATTTGAATCCACATAGGATTAGGGGCTAGGGCTTGGGTTAAGTTAATCATTCACTCTAGAGTGGACTAGCAGCCTTTTTCTTTCTTGATGGAATTAGGTTAAACACATCATAACACGTGTCGTGACCTGGTGACACTGTTACCTGGAATTTTAGGCTTCATTAGTAGCTTTTTAATGAAGGTGATACTAGGATTTTAGCATGGCATCCATGCTTCCTTTTGAAGTTCAGGAAATCATGTTTTCTTTTTAGCCAAAGCCATTTTTTTTTTGCATCAACTAAACAATAGGGAGTTTATTCTGGACGTCCTTGAATACACTTTCAAGAATTAAGAAAGATACAAACTCAACTGGGAAAGGGCGTGATGAAACACATAGATTTGCCATTTGTGGAATGTTATCCAGGATCAATATTTTATATTGTTTAATTTTCACATCTAATTAATGTCTCTTCTTGTTTGATTTGTTGCTTTCTGACACATCACATATACCGAATGCCTGTATCATTGGTTTCGGTACCCTATATAAAGACTGGACCCCCCGTAATAAGCGCTTTTAGCTTTGCCTGAAGTACTCGTGATTTGTGCTGCAGGAAGGGGCGAAAAAGCCACTTTGCAAAGTTAGTTTCTCTCCCAAATTCAGGGATCAGCTCCATGCAAGCTGGGGTGCCTGAGTTTCAAGGCAACAACACCAGCATCATGTGGGTTTTGTTTGTTTATTTTTATGGGCTCTTATTATTTGGCTCCTTTGAACCTTTGGCAACTTCTTCACATTGTAGTCAGAATTCTCCTGTATTTCCATCACTGAAAGTTTATTCAGATGAGACTGAGTAAGAAATGTAAAATTTGATCCCCATTCTCACAAGAAACAGGAGAAACAATGGACAATGTTTAAAATATCAGCCGAAAATTGGGCCATTCCCTTTAATTAGGTAATTATAACTTTAAAACTTACAAAAAAGATAGTTTGCCAAAAACTACTGAAGAGTGATGTGGTTAAGCATTTGTTGTATACTTCGGCTCTGGCTTTCTTGGAAATCCCTTTGGCTTTGAAGTTCTTGGAGAAAGAGGCTTTTTACAGAGGCTACATCAAGCATTTGGTTTTGCTGACCATTAAAAGAGAGAGCCAACTTCGTGTCCTAGTCAAGGCACCAGGCTAGAAACCACTCCTGCCTTAGCCGCAAAGCTGGCTGGGTGACTTTGGGCCAGTCTCTCTCTCTCAGCCCTAGGAAAGAGGCAATGGCAATCCACTTCTGAAATCTTGCCATGAAAACTGCAGGGACTTGTCCAGGTAGTCACTAGGACACAAGACTGACTTGAAGGCACCAAACACACACACACACGCCATTGCCACATTTTTTAAACTTTTGGATTAGAGAATTGAAATTTCTCATATTACAAAATTAGTAGCATCTGAGAATGCAAAAACAACAATGGGAGCCAGAACACAAGCTCCCAGAACCTCCCTCAGTGGGACTTCATGTCCTGGGCTGCTGCTTAAAACTGCAGTGGGATAGGTGCTCCACTGTAGAACGTGCTGCTTCCTGCGGTGGGTGCTGGGGGGGGAGCAGGTATGACACAGTGGTGGTGGAGTGCAGGAGCTTACACAAGACTGCAGACTTGATGGTAGTGCAGCTTCCAAGCTTTGGTCCCTCCTGCACACATGCCCATGGGATTCATCAAAGTGTGGATGAATCAGACTGTGTTTTCCATCTCAGCTGCCATCTCTGCTTTGCCTGCCACTTAATGGATTCTGCCATGCCATGCCATCACCTCTTGGGTGGGGGGGACTTGGGTACTGGGAACATTTCCATGAGCTTCTTTGTGGGAAGACCATTAAAGTCAAGAGCAGATGGTTAGGAAAGTTGCCCTGGACCTGACTGGTGGGGTTGGGTGGGATTTTGTGGCTCTGGTCAGAGGATCAGCTGTCCTTAGAGAGCAGGATACCAGAAGGATGCCAGAAGGGGCAGCCCAATGAGGCATCATTCCAAAAAGCTTCCCACTAGTAAAACTGGTGTGCTGCTGGCAAGTGGGCCGGGTGGGCATGCAATGAATGATAGGTCCAGAATGTGAGATGTCTGTCACCTCATTGATGGAAATTGTTTTCTAAGCAAACACTCTCACAAACGTTATTTTCACTGAATCTTGCTGGGATACTGCCTTTTTCATGTTAATTTTATTTTATATCTAATTCTAATACTCCAATTAACATTCTCAGCTTAATCTGTGATGATTCTCTTGAACTTGCTTTGTACTTGCTTTACTTTTTCTTTTAATAATTACTTTTCAGAGATCTGTCTGTACTCCTTTGGATTATCAGATTTTTTTAATGGAACCATGGTCCAAGTCAGACAATTCTGCATGCGTGTCCTATTCACACACACACACACACAATATGCATGCATGCATGTAAATGAGCATATTTTGTAATGTCACCAGGCCCCAGTTGGAAGCCATCAGAACACTCAGAGGGAATGTCTTCATGAGGAAAATCCTAGTTGTCAGACATGTGCTCTGCTGTTAAGCTCTCACTTGCAGCCTCCTGCCCATATTGGTCTTGATGGAGTTTAAGCATTTCTTGATAGAATTACCAATGAGAAAACTAAAAGAATTTGGTGCACTAGCTGGTTTTGAGATTAATAAACAGAAGCTTCGGAGTGGTTTTCACTCATGCAGAGCACACTGCAATAGTCCATATACGAGGTGACCATCTGAAGTGGCCATCTGAAGCATCTTCCTCTCGTGCAACTGGTGCACATGATGGATTTGGTCAAGACCTTCTTAGCCACAGCTGTCACCTGCTGTGAATCCAAGAAGATCCTCAAATTGTACTCTAGTCCTGAGAGGGGAAGCATAACACCATTCAGGACTAAAGCTGAAACATCCCCAGCCCAGGGGAGAAGGAGGAGTATCCAAAAATACAGTCTTGTCAGGGTTGAGCTTTAGTCTGTTCCTTCCCATCCAGTCCCACACAGCCTCCAGACACTCAGACAAGATTCTGACAAGACTGATTGCTCTGTGGTCAAGCTGTATAATTAATGTATAATTATCAGCTGTGCATTGATAATACTGCTGATCCCAAACCGATGGATTACCTTTCCCAGCAGCCTCATATAGTGTGTGTGTGTGTGTGTGTGTGTATCGTTATGTGTGTGTGTGTGTGTATCATTATGTAAATAGCCTCATATGTTAAAGATAAGAGGCAAGAGTGTAGGGGGCTTGGATACAATCGCTCCCAGCCTATGGTCACCAACTAGACCCAACCACAGAAAAAGGAGAACCACCACAGTGCTATGCCTTCCACTCCCAATCCCAGCAGGCAGCCCAGCATGGTAAATGGTATCAAAAACTGCTGAGAGGTAAAAAAGAACCAGAATAGTTGCACTACCCTTGTCCCGGCTCTGCCAAAGGTCATCAAAAAGCAAGACCAATGACATCTCAGTATTATGTCTGGATCTGAAACATGACTGGAAGGGGTATGATCAATTTCCTCTGGGACTTTCAGGTTGAAGATTCGATGAAAATTGTCCAATACAATTGGGTCCAGTGACAGCCACCTAAGCTCATGACGGTCTCCTTCATTTGGCAAAGCTGGCAAAGCTCTCTAGTCTTAGCTGAGATCTTGGACAGGAAGTGTGGAGGAGTGGCTGAGTTAGGACTGCTTGATGGTGGGAGAAGCTGGTGTGAAATGTTGAGGGAGGAGGCAGCCAAGAGGCCCATCGCCTCGGGGCGCTGTCTTAAGGTCTTTGCACAAATCGTCTCTCTCAGCCACAAGGAAACGTGGAGGAAGCCAATGAGACTTTCGAGGTGCCGTAACCCTCGTGGGCCGCTATCGAGCCTCGCCAATGGTTGCCCCTCCTATCTATCGCGGGACGTCCCCTCCACGCCTCACAAGTAGCAGCGCGCTGCTAACCGCTCCGAAGGAAGCCGGAGGGCGCCCCGCTTTTCTCAGCCGCGCAGCAAAGGAGGTTTCTCCGCTCGCTCTCAAAGGCCGCAGTGCTTCCTTCCGTTCGGGAGCTGTTTTTCAGCACCACGGGATCGGGTTGCTCCGGGCTGGCGGCGTTCCTGGTGGGAAGGACGGGTGGCAGCCACGAGCCTCTGCAACTCGGGGACGGACTGCGGGGGAAGAGGAGCTGTCGATCGGGAAACCCTCCGGCCACCCTCCAACGCCAGGCGACCGGGCTTTCAGGGACAGAGGCGGACGGAAACGGAGGAAAGCAAATGCCCGGGAGGTCCTGGATGGTCGCCCGCGACGTCGGGGGCGCTGTGGCGAAGGCAGGGCAGCGAAGGGAAGGAAGTGCTCCTCGGGTGCGGAGAGGAGCGCGCACGCGCCTCCGCCTCCTGCCGCCCCCTCCTTTCCGACCCGATCGATTTCTCAAGGTGTTCTCTGCACGACTGAAGATGGCGACAGACTGAAGGCGAGCGGCGGGTGCGGGAGGGGGAAATGGACAGGCCTAGCCGCCGCGCCCGGGCGCTCCGGAGTGGCCAAGCTGCGGCCCGCCTTAAGCGCAAAAGGAAAGGCGAGTGAGGGCGGCAGGCGCCCAGTTGCCGAGGGAGTGCCGAGGCAGGCGATCGGGAGCGAGCGAGCTGGCCCACAGGGACGAACCATGAAGAGGGCCAAACGGTGAGGCACGGAGCGCCGGACGGAGCAGCAGGGACGCCTGCGCCCGAGAGAAGGGGGGATGCCGGTGCGGCACGGCGCGGCCTCGCCCTGCCAGGGCTGGCCATGGTGAGAAGCGCCGTAGCGGCGCAGCACCATGCGCCGGCCAGCGGAAGCCCTTAGCAGCCCCGCGGCGGGAGGCTGGGGGCGTCCGCGCGGGGGTCAGCAGCAGCAGCGGCGGTGGAGAAGAAGCAGGCGGGTCCGGCGGTGTCTTGTCGCCGGCCGCAGGGCGAGCGATGCTGCTGCCCCT